TAACCATTTTGTTTCAACACTTCTGGTGTCTTATCACGTGATGGTGTATGATATATATATATATATATATATATATATATATATATATATATATATATATATTTATGTTTGCCCTACTCTGTATTGAGCACTCTTTTTAAGAATAGTATTTTTTGTTTATTGGAATTTATACCGTATACACCAATCCTATATATATATATATATATATATATATATATATATATATATATATATCGCTAAACATGCTGGAAGAATCGTCGGTTTCTGTACCGCTTCAGTAAGTAATGGACTCCTTGTGTTATCTTCTACCTTTACAAGAGACTGATCTGGTCTGTAATTGTGTCCTGCTGTGATATTTTCGCCAGGAGCTTCCCAGTCCTCCCTTTCCCAGTCTCGAAAGAGTTCAAAATTGTCTCTGCCTCCTTGTGGGTAATGAATTATTTTCCTCCCTACAACCCCTTTTCTCACAGGCGAAATGTTATAAGCCTCTTACAGCATGGAAAGTGCTCAGGCGAACTACGTTCCTTAGTTCAACCTGTTCCCACCTTTACGCCTAAGACCCGCCTTGCCACGCCAATTGTAGCGAATCACCAACATTCCCTTCATATACCACAGGTAGATGTAATTCCCACTCGAACAGCTCTTCCCACGAAAAGCTGATTTGTGGAACCGACTCCCAAGAGGGTGCTTCCCCGACCACGACAATCTTCACCTGTTCAAGTCTAGAGTTATCATCCCCAAATTGTGCCCTTCACACTGTAACCGTTCTACTTCGAGTGGTTCCTGGGCCTTGTACAGAGTGAACATCACTGTAATATATATATATATATATATGTGTGTGTGTGTATATGTGTGTGTTTGTGTTTGCGTGTGTGTGTGTATGTGTAAATTCTTTCAGACAAAGTGTATCTATAAAGGAACAAAATGAATAAAAAGACAAGAGGAAAAACTATTCTTTACCAATGCATTTCGTCCTCTGACGGACATTATCAATGCAAATGTAAGATTAAGTTTTGTTGCACGTATTTATATACAAGAGCAATGATGTCATTGATTTATCAAGGCTTTTAGATTTGAGAACGTTTGCGACAGCTGGTTGAAAGGTCAGTCCAAAAAACATGGAGGACACAGATTGTCATATTTCAAAGTATGGTAAAAAATAAGCGAGTGATATTCAAAATATATACCGGGTTGTAAAAGCAAAATTGTCCAAATCGTGTAACAGCAGAATTGTCCTTCCTATAAAATGTTTAATATCTAAAAAACTAGCAATAACATATAGATATATACAGTCTCGAAGTAGGATTTCCTTAGAGTCTACGTGCTTGTAACTGACTTCTACAAGCGGTTACCTCACACTATTACTCTACCTCCAACTCCATCACAATCTCCGTCTTCTTACTCTCTCTACTCACTCTCTGACTGTCTAACTCTGGGTATTTAATGGCAGCAGTCCAAGTAACACTCTGGTTGAGTCCACTTATATGAAAAAGGGGAGGACCCCATAACAGAAAAGATCCAACTCAATCCATAAGACGTTTGGCACGTGAGAGAGGAGTTTCAGCTATGACAGTCTAAAGAGCAGTGAAAAAAGACTTGAAAATAAAATCGTACGTGAAACCTGTGAGGCATGTTGTTACTCCAGGACAGCAAGTTAGAAGGTTAGAGAGGGTGAAGATCATCTTGAGTGGGAAAATGATCCTGAAATAATATATATATATATATATATATATATATATATATATATATATATATATATATATATATATATATGAACTTTTATATCAATCCTTCATGAGCTTCGGATCCTTAGTTATGGTTAATTAATGATGAACATGACATCTTAATTTATGATCGATTTCCACACGGTTCTTCTGCTAAGCTTGTAAAGTAATTATACATTCTTATTGCCCAGAGTCCAGCAGTGTCATAAAAACCTCGGAGAATTCCAGTAAGATATTTTAAACCATTTCTAAGACACAGCGGTTCAGAACTTAATCTAACAATTGAATAATTTTGCTTTTACTTGATTTGGACATTTTTGCTGTTACACACGCTATACACACACACGCGCTCGCGCGCGCACACACATAGATAGATAGATAGATAGATAGATAGATAGATAGATAGATAGATATTAATGGTTAATATGCACAGATATATATATACATCCCTAAAATATATAAATATATATACATACATACATACATGCAAATACATATATATATATAAAATTCCAAGAGGTTAGAATCCAGGTATATAGATAATATTAGTGGTTAATATACACACATATATATACCTAATATATATAAATATATATAAATACATACAAACACATATATATATATAAAAAATTCCAAGAGGATAGAATCCAGGTAGAACTCTATGTTCAGGACAGAGTAAGAATATAATAAAAAGGCTTAAACACTAATATTCCATGCTCGTAATTTATTATATTGGAATTGTAATTACGATCCAATTCATCAGACCTCCAAATTCAAAAAGAAAACAGAAGAATAAATTAAGAGATAGATACGCGTTAATCACTCCGTGCGTTTTTAATATTGTTAACATTTTCTTCCTCAGTAGTTTTTTAAGTACAAATTAATTTAATTCCACCCATTTATTTTTATATGTTAAATGTATATATGGAAGGATGTGTTTTTTTTTTAATTTTTTACCTTTTTAATTTTATATATATATATATATATATATATATATATATATATATATATATATATATAATCGACTCTCCTGTCGCGTTCGACGTATGAGGGTCAGGCCGATAAGTCCCCAGGAAACCGACATCCCGACACCGGCACATGAGATTTGATTATAGTGGTGAAGGCCTCGTGCAGGACCAGCCACACTTTTTGAGGGACGAATACAGAAACCTGGTGCACCGAATGCATGCCACAAGGTTCCCAAACGACCCTCCGCAGGTTTTGAATTCAGAGTTGTCCTTCTCCTAGACCAGTTGCCATCCAAGGCTATAGAACCCAGTCTGTCCTGCTATTTTACCCATAGCTGGAGGGAGATAAAGAGGATACATACCTTTCCCAAGGGTATTAGCACGTAAGTGAATGTAAGAGGCACGGTGGAGCAGTGGATAGCGGCTTGGATTGAGGAATCGCAGAGCTGAGTTCGAATTCCAGTCGAATCCATTATATATATATATATATATATATATATATATATATATATATATATACATACGTGTGTGTATATTTAGGTGTATATGTATACATATGTATATGTATATGGGTGTGTATATGTATATATGTATGTATGTATGTGTATATGTATAGTTAGATGGATAGATAGCTAGATACGATGTATATTTGTTTAGATGAGAGTGTGTGTATGTAAATGTATGGAGGTGTGTAAGGTTTTATGTATATATGTTTATGTGCACGTATGTATATGTCCGTATGTGTAGATGATGTGCATGGGTATATATATATATATATATTTATATGTATACATGCGTATGTATATGTATGTAAATATAAATATGTTGTTGTGTATGTGTGTATATACGTATGTGTTTTTGAACATAAAAATAGTAGGTCCTTGCTAGATGAAATATTCGTTAATTTTGATATGTTTATATTAAATTTGTAACCTCTAGTTGATATTACTTTTGTCAAATTTTCTTGATTGCACAGTGGCTCTTTTATAAATGCCCTTCGGTTTTAGTTGCCCCCCTTCTTCCCCCTTTTTTCTTTTTTTTTCTCTCTCTCTTCCTCATCTTCTGATTTTTAAGTTTAGATTATATTGTCTTTTATTGTGCGTAGTTTCACCACAAATGTATACACCCATTTCCGGTGTCGGTTTTTAATTTAATTTAGGTCAGCGATTCAGTAATGAATTATGCATCGGAAAATAATTCATATTTATCTGTATCTCACTCATTTAAACTGTCTTTTAACTGCTCTCTTTAAAACTTCTCTCTGTTAACGTTTAGGCGTTGCTGTTCTTCTCTCGTCTGTTACCCACCCCCTCTCTAGAGCTTTCATTGACTTCTCACATTCGTCTCCCACTCTCATACATACACTCTCACTAAATTTTATTTTATATTCCAGGAGTTCTTTTTTCTGATTTCTTTTTGAATTTGTAGGTCTGATGAATTGGATCGTAATTCCAATTCCAATGTAATAAATCATAACCATGGAATATTAGTCTTTAAGCCTTTTGTCTTTTTATCATATATATATATATGTGTGTGTGTGTGTGTGTGTGTGTGTGTGTGTGTGTGTGTGTGTGTGAGTTTTGAACAATAAAAAATATTGAAAAATTAAAAAATTAAAATTTTCAGACACACTGGGTTGTATATCAATATTTTGGGGGGGGGGTTATTATTTCAATTAGGTTCATCGACTCGTTTCGGCCAGTATAGCCATCATCAGGAGAAAAAAAAATTCCTTTTTGTTAATAGGAGTGAATTACAGGAAGGAATGACTTTCTGAAGAAAATGAACTTTATATGTAGTTTTCATTTGTTTCTTTTTTTATGTTAATTTTGGTCAGTCTTTGTGTTGGTCAAACGGACTTTTTTAAGTTGTTTTAGGATAAAAGCTGTGGAGATTCATGTGACTCAGAATTCTCTTGGTCATTTTGGCAGTTTGATTGGTTCCTGGGGACGGGATGTGGGTGTGTTAAGTGTATGTTATCATTTGTTTTTGGGAGTGTGTAAGATGTGTGTAAGTGTATATATTAGTATAGGTGTGTGTATAAGTGTGAGATCTCAACACCTCCGCAAGTATATCTGTCTTGTGTGGGTGAGAAATGTGGGCAGGGCTTGATTTATGGGGTTATATATTAATTCTATGTTGTTAAATTTATGGTTAAGCCCATCTGGATAAAGTGTTTTGAGGCGCAAAATCCTTTTTCTTTTTTTTTTCATGTTCCTCTAGTATTTTTCTAAGGTCTTCTTTTCTGTCTATTTCTATTTTTTCAATTATAGTAAATTTGGCATGGCTTTTAAAATTGTTTTTCTAGGCGGAAATGCTGATCTAAATCTCTCTCTCTCTCTCTCTCTCTCTCTCTCTCTCTCTCTCTCTTTGGGTAGATAGAGAGATAGATAGATAGATAGATAAGAAAAATTTTGAAAATTTTAAAATATTTCGCCGATGCATAAATTTATTTCCTTGTTACTTTTTTTAAAGATGCTGTTTCATGATTGAAATCTATATCGAAATTACATATGAGGCTCTCAGCATCTGTTTAATATAGACATAGAAATAAATATCAATCCAACGATCGTAACCACGAGGCTCCTAAACAGAGGGATTTTTTTCGGTATTTTTGTCACGTGACTCCGCCTGTCAAAACGGACTGATAAACATTTCCCATGATGCCACACTGCCAAGCAGAGTGAGATCACCCGGAAGGAATTCGCTTTCGCACCCAAATGTCCTGATGACAATAACGAATACTTAAGCGAGAAACAAGCTGTAAAAAAAAAAGGCCATGGGTTCGGGGTGGGGACGAATAAAGAAAGAAAGAAACGTTAGTCAAATTGCGTCTCTGAAGCACCTGTTCTTCTACGAGAGAAAAAATGACGAAAAATTTGCACCTCTTTGATATTCGTCAAGTGGCTGAAATGTATATATATAACATATATATGTGTGTGTGTTTTCATGTTACCTTGTCGTCGAAAATCAATCAAAAGTGTTGACTCATAGATGAAGTGGCATTAATGCGTCAAACGTCCTGACGTACCTAAGATGAATTCGGCGAGTAATGTTGGCCCATGTTCAAGTCTGGAACTCGAACCTTTCTGCTCTAGCACATGCCCATATATGAGCTTGTAAAATCTACAAGCTTACGGCCATATAGCATTGAAACAGCAGTACGTGCACCGAAGTTAAGCAACGCTGAGCCTGGTCAGTACGTAGATGGGTGGCTGCTTAGGAATACCAGGTACTTAGATTCTAAAAATATTTCCTGGCTTTAAATAACCTGCAAAGGGTTGATAAGCCGTAGAAAATGAATCAATCAAAGGCATAAACATAGATAGGTATGATTGTAGCTAGCTAAGAGTTCCGAGAAGTAAAACAAATGAACAGAAACGTCTTGTCTTTTAATCATTTCGCCCCAATCAAGGCGATGATGCCACTAAGACGCAATGCCAATCGAACGATCCTCTGTGGCTCAATCGGTTAAGAGCACGTCAGGCTAAATGACGGTTCCGTATAGGATACAGGTTCGATTCCTGTCGGAGGACGAATATTTTCCATGAAAATTTCTCGGACATTCAGACCGGTAAATGTTATAAATACTGTTTATTATAAAACAGAGCATTTACTTAAATATTTATATCTATAAAAAAATGTATAAACATAAAATATTTTAAAATAATTGTCGGACTTTGTCCATTTCATAATATATACACACATATACTTACATGTACGTATAAATATGTTTCTTCCTCAGATGTGACAGATCTATAAGTATATATCAGTGAATATATATAATATCCAACGTCGTCGATAGCACAACTCGGAGTTTCATGCAGTCCTGCAATCTTCAGGTGCGGAGTATATTCTAGCCGTTATAGAGTTCGCGTTCTATTGGGGATGACTCAAAATATTAGACTCAATTCTAATATTTTAGGCAACAATAATTAAATAAACAAATCTTAACACACAACTTAGAATCATCACCACGAGAACGCGAACTCTATAACGGTCAGAATATACTCCGCACCTGAAGATTGCAAGACTGCATGAAACTTCGAGTCGTGGTATCGACAATGTTGATGTTATGTATATTCACTAATATATATATATATATATATATATATATATATATATATATATATATATATATATATATATATATATATATTTGGATTTGGATCACTAACACAAAAAAGAACGTCTCATATCGAGAATATATGACATCAAAAAACATAAAGAAAAAAATAATTATTTTTAATAATATGTGAAAACCTCCACCCTTTAGATGATGACGGTCGCCAGACCGGAAACAAGTGTAGCAAAATTATGGAAAATAAAGCATGATATTTTTTTTAAAATCCACATTAACACCAAAAACGTTTTCGGTTTCTCTCTTCTTTTTTAATATACACACTTTTTCTCTTTGAAACCACTATAACCTTTTTTCTTTTTATATATATATATATATATATATATATATATATATATATATATATATATATATATATGCACGAAAGGATGATTTGTAACATGAGTTAATCCTTCACACGATCAGACAACATGAACGGGCTGAAATTCAAGTCGTCTGAAGATCCTGTATAGGATTTAACATTGGTAATCGTCTTTCGCTCGGTCTAGCCAATCTAGGCTCCGAGCACTTAACTAAGTAAGTTTTCCCTTAGGCTCTTTTTTCTCTTTCTTTTTCAGTATTGTCGTTTTTATTCAGTTCTGTATCTGGATAAGAATTTTAGTTTTTCGAAAGTTGTCCTTTGGTTCCATCAACTGATTTGATCTATCTTTAATATATATATATATATATATGTGTGTGTGTGTGTGTGTGTGTGGTTTGTATGTGTGTGTGAGAGAGAAACGTATTTAGGGGATACCCGAACCTGTGAATGCGCCGGGTTCTTTTTAAACTGTGTTTTACGTCTATCGATCTTCGCCCTCGATAAAGCATATAAACTTATCTCCCAAAATAGGAAAAAATTCTGACAATATAAATCACCTGGTTTTTTTTTAAATCACCTGGATTTCTGGAAATGTGTCCACAGACATGTATGAATATGGGGTAAAAATATAAATATTTTCTGGTCGGCTGTTATGAAAAGTTGAAGGATGTTAAGAAATCGAGTAATTTTCGAACAGTAATATAGACATTCCACATACAGGAATGAATATGGTTGCTGTATAGAAAAAAATCTATTTGGTTATAAATGATAGGAAAACTAATCTGTATGATGCTTCTGACAAATGATGCATTTTGTAAATGAGATGTGAAGGAGGGTAATGTCATATGGCATTTCAGGTATTTCTAAAGATAAAAGTACATACGACACCTGTCTATGTCTCTGAAACAATGTATTATGAATATTTGCATTATTTACATTATTCAGCCTGTTATCCTCATCTTCATTGCCATATCCACAACGTTACGGCCGTTGTACGCTCCGGCCTTTATGTCTATGTCTCTCTATATATCTGTCTATATCTCTGAGATCAGGTATTATGATTACTTGTATTATTTACATTATTCAGACTGTTATCCTCATCTCCATTTTCATATTCACAACGTTTCGGCCGTTGTACGCTCGGGCCTTCTTCAGGTGATTTAAATTTCGGACCAAACTCTATATTTCGTCCACCGGGTTAGATTGTTCTAGTTCCACGCGTCATGCCTCTTCCAGATGTTTCAGTTATTTCCCTTTAACTCAACTGTCCACGTTTGTTTCACCACTGATGTGGCCTGTTATTGAAGTCACAACTCTTTGTGTCTAGTCACTGGATCTAACCAACGTCTTTATCCACTGAGCCATGTATCCTTGAGGAGAGCAGAGTTCTTGATGACATATGTGTATGAATTTTTCGGAATTATAAACCTGAAGTCTCAGCAACAATTTTTATTTTCCAGTGCTCATATTGCAATTTTTCGGTTATTATTATTATAATTTTTTTTTTACCAGAACTTATATTGCAATTATTTTTGTTATTCATTGCTTTTCTCTAGCAATCCTTATTACTGGTTCCCATATTGTATTCATGTCTATGCTTGGTCGGCTCAAGAGATTTTTGTGGCCTAGCATATGTGCTGATTCCTTAAGCTTTCGTATTTCCCAGTGATGCTCAACCTAATCCCGCGGGGGAGGTGATTTCCATTTTACCTCTATATATGGTCAGCTACATCTCATTTTTCTATTTCCCCTAGTGTTACCGCGTTACAATGTTTTTGCAGCCTTACCTTGGGGGGGGGGGCTGTTTCTTCATTGTATTTCCTACTACAGCTACACGGGATGGCTTACATATAATTCCTAGTTATGTTCTTCTCTATGGGGGATGGGAGGTTATTACATACGACACAACGATGTAGATTTTTCTAATCTATAGTATATATTATCTAATGTCACCAAATTTAAGATCTCTACCTGAAATATTTAGTATTTAGTAAAATGCAGAAAATGTAGAGACATTTTAAGATGCTTTGATTTTAAAAGTATTAAATATACGCATCTAATATTTGGCATTTATCAGTAAATTTGATCCAGGAACACTTGGGAATTTTCCCAGATTTTTCTGCGACGCTTAATTTAAAATGGAATGACCTGTATAATTATGTACATTATTTACATTATTCGGACTATTGTCCTCATCTTTGTCGCCATATTTATTACAACGTTTCGGCCCTTCAGTATCTGCCTATATTTCTGATATGAAGTATTATGTACACTATCTACATTATTCGGACTATTGTCCTAATCTTTGTCGCCATATTTATTACAACGTTTCGGCCCTTCATTATCTGTCTATATTTCTGAGATGAAGTATTATGTACACTATTTACATTATTCGGACTATTGTCGTAATCTTTGTTGCCATATTTATTACAACGTTTCGGCCTTTCAGTGTCTGTCTATATTTCTGAGATGAGGTATTATGTACACTATTTACATTATTTGGACTATTGTTCTCATCTTTGTTGCCATATTTATTACAACGTTTCGGCCTTTCAATATCTATCTATATTTCTGAGATGAGGTATTATGTACACTGTTTACATTATTTGGACTATTGTCCTCATCTTTGTTGCCATATTTATGGCGGCAAAGATGAGGACAATTGTCCGAATAATGTAAATAGTGTACATAATACTTCATCTCAGAAATATAGACAGATAGTGTATGTATCTTCATATATATATATATATATATATATATATATATATATATATGAGGAAAAGCAGCAGTTGAAGTGATTACTTGTTATGAGGTATAATATAGACAGATACTGAAGTAAGGGGATATAAATAAAAGATATTTGAAACTGACAACTTTTTCCATTTCATTGAATCAACCGCTAAACACATCATTTTTTATCGCCTTTTTTATATTTCTTTCTTTCTTTCATTTTCTCACTGAAACCAAGTAGCTTCTCTTCTATGGCTTTTCTGTCTTTCCACACGATCAAATTAGAATTTGTCATTTATTTATGAAGTACTGGCATAGCTTGGAAAAGATTTGAATTTGACAACTTGTTCCATTTCATTGAAGAAAGTGTTAAACACCTCATCGCCTGTTCTTTCTTTTTCTCACTGAAACCAAACAGCATCCCTGCTTTGTCTTTTCTGACTTTACACGCCATCAAAAGGGAATAGTCTATTATTTAGGAGGTATTGGCAAAGAGTAACGTACATGCTAACTTAGGAATTAAGGGAGAGACCAAACGGAAATATAATTTGATAATCATAATAATATATAATAAATATTTATAAATATTGTATTTGTCTCACATTTATTTTTTCAGAAATTGTCGAAAGAGTTCGCCGGTGTCACAATGGTATTCCTTTCCGACCACGTTTGGCCGCCTTAGAAACAACAGATAGGTACATGACTGATATAATCAAAGAATGTTGGGATGAGGATCCCAACAAGCGTCCCGACTTTAAATCTATCCGACAAAAGCTGAAACCTCTTCTGAAAGGAATGTAAGTAGCCGATTCAGCACAATTCTTTTGCGTGTTTATCTGACAATTTAAAAAATAATTGTATTTGAAGACTGTCTTTCTATTAGAGATTCTTGGGTAAGGCTAGCGGAGAAATAACATATTCGAGGGTTGATAAAGAAAGAAACATAACAAGGCCACAAAAACAGCAGCAGTTCCAAATTATCTGAAGGTTACTCGGATTGACAGTTTCCTTAAGAAGGGTGGAGGGCACAACGGTTGAAACAGTGTAATAAAAACAACAAAAATGAGGAGAATAGTAAATAATATAAACTTTCGATAGTTTTAGCCTTTTAATTTGGCTAAATAGTGGTTATTCCGTGTATACTCTAGTTGCTAGTCACCATTTTCCGTACCATCACCGAAGTTAAGCAACGTCGAGTATGGTCACTGCCGAGAAGGGAAAGCGCTTGGGAATATCAGATGCTTTAAGTTTGGATGTGTGTGTGTGTGGCGTAATAAGCTTACAGCTTACCACCGAAGTTAAGCAACATCCAGTTTGGTCAGTACCTAAATGGGTGACCGCTTGCAAATATCAGGTCCTGTAAATTTGGATGTTTTGAGTGGGGTGCAATGGCCTTACGGTCACATCAACGTTGAAACACCGGTTCCCATACGATCACCGATGTTAAGCAATGTCGAACCTGGTCAGTAACAAGATGGGTGACCGCTTGGCAATTATAAGCTTGCATGTACGTGTGGCATAATGGATAATCACACGGAATTGTTATCCGGGGAGCAGAGTTCTAGTTCCCCTTACATTCGCTATATTCACTTACGCACAAATACCCTTGGGGAAGGAAGGAATCCACTTTTCCCCCCTAGCTATGGGTTAATTAGTAAGACTTGTAGCACTAAATCATTATTATCTCTAAAACAAACTCTTACAATCTAAAATATTTTCTAGCTTTAAATAATCTACAAAGAGTCGATAAGCCGAAGAAAACGAGTCAATTAATGAAATACGGATTAGCTACACACGCATGTCTTATAGATTTATTTACATTCTCTGGAATATAAATATATAAAAACTACCGTGGCCACAAAGTGAGGGATCAGTTTATATATCGGATTTAATATAGAATTGATTCCCACTTTATATCCACATTGTAATTTCTTGTAGGCATGTCTTTTAGATTCATTTGCATTCTCTGGAATATAAATGTATAGAAACTAAAGTGGCCACAAAGTGAGGGTTCAGTTTATATATTGATTGTAGCATAGAATTGTTCTCCCATTTTATAAACACAATATAAGCTCTAATTTGTTGATAAGCCTTAGAAAACAAATCGATCAATCAATGAAATACTGATTAGCTACATAGGCATGTGTTTTAGATTTATTTACATTCTCTGGAATATTAATGTATACAAATTAATGTGGCCACAAAGTGAGGGATCAGTTTATATGTTGATTGTAATATAGAATTAATCCCCCGTTTTATATCTACATTTCCTGTTTGTTCATCAAATTCTAATTACGTATGATTCCTCCTATTCTCCCCCTAGTTATGGGTTAATTAGTAAGATTTGTATCACTAAATCATTATTATTCCCCCCCAAATTATGACAAATTAAAGATATTTTATGACTGCAATGTGTTGATAAGCCGTAAAAAACAACCAACAGTCATCATTGTTATTAAATAACTGTAAAAAATAGTCGAATCCTTGTACCGCTCCAGAAAGTTTATGATGCTTTCTGAACTCCTCATTCAGTAACCCTCTGTATTTAGTGGCTCTTGTGCCTTGTATTGGCTGAACAAAAATAGAAAACTTAAAAGGAAAGTCAAATCAGTCCTCGAGCGATAGCAGTTAATGTAAACCCTTTCTGCAAATTAATTGAAACAACCGCTTTAGTGTCCCATCTTTTGCCATACGGATAGTTTTAGACCCTTCCGGAGTGGAGGGTGTAATCGATTTCTATTTTTTTCCTCAGATTAGGTCATTTGCAATGGTGAGCAAGAATATGAATCTATTTTCGGGGTGTATAATGAAATTTGTTTGGCCTTGAAAAATATACTGCGTCACGTCCAGACACTATTGTCTCGACTGTCGATTAGTTGTCCTACGGCAATTGTCTGCGATGGACGTTACTCCAAGGAAGCGTACGAATATTTTAACGCTGCACGAACACAATGGCAAAGCTTACCAGTGAGCAAATCAAACTACTGTAGACTGGCCCGGAAACTCTCCTGATTTAAATCCAATCGAGAATTTGTGGTCAATCTGCAAGGAACGACTTCGTGGAATTGACATAGGAAGTATAACATACGCACTGGGTCATGTTTAATTAGAAAAATATGTAAAAATGTAAATGATAAACGGAATTATTCGTTTTGTTTCAATTCATTTGCACAAGGTGTAGGTTTAGTTTACTGGAAAACAAGTTTAAGAAAAGAAAATTATAAATTTCAATCAACGGTAACTAAATCCGACAGCAAGGCCTCTGATAGGGATATTAGGGAGTTTTCAGGAACGTGGAATCGCCTATTAATTGCTGTTGTTCCCAGGGCTTCCCTGGCCGGGGGTGCTAGCACCTGTTAGGGTCCCATTTATGGGTAAATAGTAAACCCCCAAACAATAATCAACAGCCCATTTTTATAATAAAATAACCAACAATACATTTTATGATTTACAAAATATATATTTGAAAAGATAACTTTACTCTGAAAGTAATTTATGTATAAAATATCTGTGGTTGGAAGAATGAAATTATGCACAAGAAAATTAGATTCCGGGATTAAATAACCCATAGAAGTGTTGATATGCCGCTGAACCAAATCAAGCAACCAACATAAAAGAACACTTTCATGACATTAATCCATATAATATCTGACAATTTCTTAAATCAAACTTTGTTCCAAAATATAACTTCAACAAAACTACATTATAAAGCAAACACATCACCGCCTCTAGTAATTATGTCCACACAAATATGTACATGCACAAAAGCTGAGTATCATCTACCATGTATTCAACTGTGAAAGCAGAATAATATAACATTTCAAAGCTCCCAAGAAAATTAAATTTCAGCATTAAATGACCCATAAGGAGTTGATATGCCTTTACACAAATCAAACGATATTTGTTCGATCAGTAAAAGCCTTTCCTATATGAGAAATGGTTCAACTTATCATTAATATTACCATTTGTATTAAAATTCTGTCCACATTGAATCTAAAAGATTATACTTAAACTACGCTGTCTTCTTACTGTTGAAGATTGATAACCTGATAAATTGTAATAAAAAGGCAATTAAATATGGCTGGAAATTACTAGTCAGGCTTAAAATTAAAAGTTATCTTACCTATATTTCAATATATTCATTCAAGTCGTTCTCTGAGGAATAGTGAACCAGTAAATTAGGAGCAAACATCTATCGATCTGTGAGTAATAATAGCATATACTAATTAAGGTGTGTTTTGGAATAGCGAAGTGATATGCAGGGCGGGTGATTTTCCAGAAAATACTTGACCAAAAATTGCACATGACAAACAATTGTATTTTAAATTCTGTTTGCTTTTCATTTTCAGGAAATCCAACATATTTGACAACATGATGGGAATGATGGAAAAATATGCTAGCAATTTGGAAGCCGTCATCCAGGATCGAACCGGTCAGCTGATTGAAGAGAAGAAAAAAACGGAAGAACTGCTGCTGCGAATGTTACCCAGGTAAGGTTTTCCAGAATTTCTCAGATGGGTAAGAACATAGATAGATAGATAGATAGATAGATAGATAGATAGATAGAAATCGGGAGTTCTTTTCTTGACAGAACGATCAGAGTGAGTTTTCCGAGCTGCTGTACCTTCGTAATCACCATTAGACTCATCCAACTCTTTCCGAATTCTCTGCATTGTCCTCAGATTGACACCCAAATACTCTGAAATGTTCGTACTGGAGGTTCCGGCGCGAATGCCAAGCAGTACAGCATACCGTTTCCAAATTTCTGGCGGAGTGAATTGCGTCATGGTGCTCTTTCTTCTCACAGACCGTGTCCAACTGACCCAACTATACTGTGCAGTTGGCAAAATCAAAAACAAATAACGCGCATGCGAGAAATTAAAATATATATATATAATGGCAAAAATTTACCCATCCCACTCTGTGTGTGTGTGTGTATATATATATATATATATATATATATATATATATATATATATATATATATATATAAAATTAAAATTATTTTAATTAAAAATAACTGACGAGGTAGTGCTGCGGTTAAGTTTTTTTTATCATTTTTTCATCTTTTCTGTAAATAAATTATGTAGAAATTGTCCGAATGCTCAGTAAGTTCGAGTGCTATAGAATGATTTTATTTTTATTCTTTTTATATTAGAAATATAATAATCTCATCTACATGTAAAAAGACTAAAAATAATGGAAGCATTATTAATAATAAAAAAGCCAACACTCAATATCAATCATGAACACGGTCAAAATGTGTTAACCGTATTTGGAAAATAAAACATTCCTATAATTTTAGCTACATACATAAAGCAATCCATACATTCAGTTAAATGTAAAAATAAAAGTCTGTGGATTTATGTAGCGTAAACATTCTTTAAACTTAATATGGATTTGCGGATATATGGTTATATGGATTATTGTCCTTGTTTTGGTGAACCTGCCCGCAAAGTTTGTAAAAGTATTTTTGCTACGGCCTATCTAAAAATGAATATTAATGCGACACTAAAATTCACAGATTTGTCAAAGAAAACATTATTTCCACTATTTTAACTTTGCGTCGACTCTGACGTGTTTAGTTCCCTTGTATAACTCGCAGCTCGAAAAGATTCCTTTTTCTTCGGGCGCTCTGTTATTAGCGTAGTCTGAAATAAGGCCATGCATCTAGGAGCACTCATCTCATTAATCAATTCACTGCAGCGACGCGCTCTACCCCCTTAAAAATGTGAGCTTGCTCTGGCGAAACATTAGGAGTTAAATTTTATGAATAATCCATAAGATAATTACTGAACAAACCCAAAAGTTTGACAAGAGGTTAAATGTAATGGTGTATGAAGCAAAAAAAAATTACGATTAATAACTTTCGAGATAAGTTGACTGTTGTTTTTTGTTGCAGGTCTGTGGCTGAACAATTGAAACGCGGAAAGAAAGTTGAAGCCGAACTTTTTGATTCGGTTACTATTTATCTCAGTGATATTTGTGGTTTCACAGCAATGTCATCAGAAAGTTCCCCCATGCAGGTCAGTCAGTCTTCTTTTATTATTATTATTATTTTTATTTTCTTCGATTTCTGGCGTTTACACATTTCTTTCCGGGTCCCGCCCAGGGACCTAAAGTTAGAAATGGCGTCATGACACTTTCCACTGACAAAAAAAAAAATTACATAGATAAAGCCCTTTGTAAGGTGTGGACTGTACTTGTCAGAACAATTTTTTGTATCTCTTTGAGGCATGGACTTCCAGGAATCCCTTCAATTAGTCTACTGCAATCTTTTCCAACCAGTCATAGGGCTCCAACTACAACAGGGATTGTTGATGTTCCCATATGCCACATTTTTGAGATTTCTATTTCAAGGTCCTTGTACTTTGACAACTTTTTGAATATCTTTTATTATTATTATTATTATTATTATTATTATTGTTATTATTATTATTATTATTTATTTCCTTTGATTTCTGGCGTTTACACCTTTCTTTCCGGGTCCCGCCCAGGGACGTAAGGTTAAAAATTGCATCATGACACTTTTCACTGACCAAAAAAAAAAAAAATACATAGATAAAGCCCTTCGTAAAGTGTGGGCTGTACTTGTGAGAACAATTTTTTGTATCTCTTTGAGGCATGGACTTCCAGGAATCCCTTCAATTAGTCTACTGGAACCTTTTCCAACCAATCCTAGGGCTCCAACTACAACAGGGATTGTTGATGTTCCCATATGCCACATTTTTGAGATTTCTATTATTATTATTGTCATCATCATCATCATTCGATTTTTTGAGATTTCTATTATTATTTTATTATTATTATTATTATTATTATTATTATTATTATTATTCCTTATTAGGATTCCTTTATTTAACTGATGTCTGAAATTCTGTGATTAAGCCTTCATTTTGCTATAAACTCTTTTTTTAACATATTTTGACCGATATATTCATAAAATCAATACTTTTACGCTAGCTACATTGCTTATCTCAAACAATAAAATCGTTTCTTTTATTATTATTGTTTTTTTATTATTATTGTTTTTGTTGTTGTTGATGCCGTTGGTGGGTTGTCCAATGTACCGAGATTCAACCTGATCGTTTGGTTAGACACAAAACTCTCAGATCAATCCTGAAATCATATTGGTAATAAAATTTAATTAAAATTTTAATTTCTCTTCTCTTTCCTCTCACTACTTCTCTTTCCTCTTACTTCTTCTCTTTTCTCTTACTTTCCCTCCTCCTTTCACCCTCCCTCCCTCCTTCTTATGTGATTCTCCCTCCGCCTTCTTTATATTGTTTTCCTTTTCTCCTCCTCCCCCTTTTTTCGACAAATTTGTTTTGCTTTTCGGTCGTATAAATCACACACCTTCTGACACTCCATTTTCGAAAACAAAACCGGAAAGCCTTCTGCCCCCCATTTCCGCTATATCAAGTTATTTTCTCAAAGCATTCAACTTTCGAATGAAACTATAAACAGGACAGCCACTACCGCACCCCACCTAATGCCTAAATATATTATAAAGCCCGGCCCACACACCTCCTATGAACAAACAACAACACAAGACACCAATAAAAAAAACGTCTGCTTCTCTTCTTACCAGCAGTTATCTCCCCCTGCCTAAACCCAAATGAACAAAAAAAATCGAGGTTATTGTTAAATATAATGGTTTTTCAATTTTTTCACTCCCCCTCTCTCTCTATCGTTATCGCTTTTTCTATCTCTCTTTCTCTTTTCCTCTCTTTCTCTCTCTCTCCTTAATTATCTCTTTCTTTCTCGCTGTTTTATCTGTGTGTGTGTGTGTGTGTGTGTGTGTGTGTGTGTGTGTGTGTGTGTGTGTGTGTGTGTGTGAAACGAATAATTCATTCATGTACGTAGAGTAATTAAAGACTCTTGGCCCAACAAGGTTTTTTTTTTTTGAAACAAAGTAAAATGAATAGCATTAACATCACGTATCTTATCGTATTCTTATTCTTATCCTATTCTTATTCTTATTCGTTTCTTATTCTTATTCCTTTCCTATTCTTATTCTTATTCGTTTCTTATTCTTATTCTTATCCTATTCTTATTCTTATTCGTTTCTTATTCTTATTCCTTTCCTATTCTTATGCTATTTTTATGCTTATTCTATTCTTATTCGTTTCTCATTCTTATTCGTTTCCTATACTTATTCAATTTTTATTCTTATTCTTATTCTTATTCTTTTCTTATTCGTATTCCTTTTCTATTCTTATGCTATTCTTATTCGTTTCTTATTCTTATTCGTTTCTTATTCTTATACGTTTTTATTCTCATTCTTATTCTCATTCTTATTCTTATTCTTATTCATGTCTCTAATATCTTATTCTTCAATTCTTATAGTATTTTATTTAATGTAAATTATGACGTATATAAAAGTGTCCATTTAAATTCTCATTACAAAATTCGTCCATTTTTTAAGGATTTCATTGGAAAGAAGAATCCAAAAATCAGACAATATCAAAGAATTACTGATTTAAAAATATGTGCGAGAAACTAATTGGAAATCATTTGAAATTCTTCAATGAAGCGCTTGCTTTCTTTTATCAACGAACTATAAAATAACAGAATGAATATATCATCGTGGAAACCAAATTGAGTGCTTTGCTTTGTTTTACGGTATATCAACCCACTGAATCATTTCACCCCGAAATTTGATGTTTTTTGTTCCTAAACAAACCCTTGTATTTAAACAGTCATTTTTTTAACTAGTAAGACTGCTATTACTTATGGTTATATTATTTTTAAATTATATTTTTGAGATCAGTTTAATTTCTCTTAGAAACTGGAATATTCTACCATATAAGCATTGCCAAAAGGGAAAGTGCTGAGGGGTAATAGGAATTTTCTACTTTAAAACAACTTGACCTTGTGTAACAATTGGTTATGTGGTGGGTGCACTGGTAAATACCTGGATATAGGATTTTGGTAATTAAGGGGGTCTGATATATTCTTTAATTATATTTTATTTTATTTTCTCTTAGAAACTGGAATATGTAAAACAAATCAGTATCTTGAAAAATTTATTTTAAGTTTGTTGTTTGGTAGGATTTGAAGTTAAAATTGCTACAGTTTGTCAGTCAGTGTTTTATGGTGAATGGCTCTTGTCATGCCACACATACTGATGTTTTTTTTTTTTTCTTTTTTTAGGATATACAAATGAGTTATGGTAGTATGTCCAATATGGAGCCTGAATATAATCATTTCTTCTCTTCTAGTTTGATCTTTTTGTGGGATTGTATATATGAGAAGGGTACCAAAATGTTCTGACCAAGTGTGTAAGAATTGAAAATATTTATTAAATCCAAAAGAATCAGAATAATTGTTCCTTGCTTTTTTTTATTTTATTTTACGGTATATCAACCCTTTGGGTCATTTAATGCCAAAATGTAATGTTTTTTCCTAAATAAAGCCTTGTATTTGAAAAGTCATTTTTTTTAACTAGTGAGACTGCTATTAGTCAAAGTTATATTATTTTTAAATTACAT